CTATCTCGTTCACGTCTGTCATTTGACGTCAGTGGACATGAGAAAGTGTGTGTTTGTCTGTCACTCTTTACTCCTGATGTTTCTGTTTCCTGCAACACGGAAATCCTCTCGTACCACTGGCCTTATTTTCTTATCAAAGACTTAAGAGATATACATAAGTAACGTTTTATCTGATTATTATTTTGCTATTACCAGAGTTTTAGTGTCGAAGAACCACAGCCAGATTTCATCTGTCATGTTGCCCGGTCGTAGAGCAAACAACTTTGAAACTCGATTCTAGAACAATTGAAATTTGCGCTCAGAAGTTTTTGAGAATAAATTGCTCGGGAGATTATTTGAACACAAGAAATAATTAGTCGGTTGGTGGAGAAAATTACATAATTATTCTTAACGATATATCATTATGATTATTAAGGCAAAGATAATGAAGCACACGCCAAGGAGTTGGGGGGGGGGAGGGGGGTCCACCGAATAAAGTCCCCCGACAGCGAAGCTGACCAGTTACCTCCATATTCTGCACTCTTCGCCTAAGTCAGAGGGATATGTGATTATGGGGGCGTTAATCTCGATATGCGTATATAAAATTTTAGGTTGGGAAAATCGGAAACGGGAGACAAATTTGGAATCGTAGGTGTTTTTGGTAAGATTAATTTGAAGTGCATCTCAACGATGAAGATTTTAATATTTTCCGTCAAATCACAATTTTAATAAGATAATAAAATATATAAAAATATTTAAAATATCATTCGATGCGGAACGCGAAATGGTATTTTAAATATTTTTATATATTTTATTATCTTATTAAAATTGTGATTTGACGGAAAATATTAAAATATTAACCTAATTCACAATATGACGCAAATATACTACCTGATGAAGATTTTGAAAATGTGAAATACATTTAACTAACTCTGAATATGTCATAGTAACGGGATTTCTTTAACACAGCGGTAAAACTTACTTGCAGGTGTTTACTGTTCGAGACTTGTTTGAGCTCAAGAATCTTAGAAATAATAATATAATGGATGTGGTTTCTCAAACGGAATCTCAAAGAACACGGTTTTTGCACTGAGGACTCCAAGTCATCCAGGTTACAGTTGCTATGGAAATGCCACAAAACGCGAGAGAGACTTTGCTTTGTGGGACACGCTTTATATCTGTTGCCGGAAGTCGGCTGGTAACGGGGCCACCTTCACGGCTTCACCTACCGGAAATGTAAATAAGACCACCTCTTACATTGCAGCTAGAACATGCTCCAAATGATGATGATGAATCTTAAATAGGAAATTATTTAGAAGGATAAGGTCGTGATGTGATGATAAAATCTAGGTAATTCAATCCGGGGTTCGATCCCCGACGGGGACAGAGGATTTTCCCTCTAGCCTTTGCGTTTAGACCAGCTCTGGGGCCCACCCAGCCTCCTCTACAATGGGTACCGGGGTCCTATCTCGGGGGCAAAGCGTGGCCGTGGCGCTGACCACTTACCCCCATCTGGTGCCGAGGTTAAAAATGTGTAGGAGCTATACCACCTCTCTCTCCTCCCCCCTCAAGCGCTTACATGGCGTGCAGCGGGAGAGATTTAGTTTTTTTATCTAGGTAATTCCAGTGTAGATCGAGATTTTAACTAGACAACTGCCGATTACAGAGCTCTGGAACCTGTTTGTTAAATTACTACTTTCTTTCCGTGTAAGGTTCCTCATCGTCTGCCAACGAATTCGTGAATAGTCCCTGAAAAAATAAACTACGCCTGCTTCGTTCCAAATCCTTACCTGTTCATCAGTCAATGATTATCTTCTTATTTCATCCGACGGTATGTAACTTTTTCAGTTTATACACCGTCATAAAATAGAACAACGAATAAGCTTTCCGTCAAACAAGAATTCGTGGATTAGTCTGGAAATTAATTTAGTACGAACTTGACAGACTGCTCTCTGAAATGTTTCTTATGGATGTGAGTAAAGCTGTCCCACTATACGCCATGCAATTTACTGATTTACATCTTACGAAGTATATGAAAAACTATATGTGTATTGTGTGAATTCACAGATCCAGCACTAAAATTTAAATGAGTACATATTTGAAATTATGACATTAATTGACAAATTGGTACATTCTCTCTTCCAGTAAAGTACTTAAGTAAATTCCTCCCAAAACATTTTGCCAACTGACAAAGCTGCCAACATTCTTATAAATTCTATGGGAGATAGGAGTTGAAGGAAACTGGATTTTGTTGGCCCAGGACAGGGACCGGTGGAGGGCTTTGGTTAGTTTGGTGATGAACCTTCGGGTTCTGTAAGCCATCTGTTTGGTTGGGTCCACTATTTGGGAAGCCTGAGGGGAAGAGACCTCTGGAGAGACCTAGCCGTAGATGGGAGGATAATCTCAGGCGGGATCTATGGGAGATAGGAGTTGAAGGAGACTGGATTTTGTTGGCCCAGGACAGGGTCCGGTGGAGGGCTTTGGTTAATTCGGTGATGAACCTTCGGGTTCCGTAAGCCATCTGGTTGGTTGGGTCCACTATTTGGGAAGCCTGAGGGGAAGAGACCTCTGGGGAGATCTAGACGTAGATGGGAGGATAATCTCAGGCGGTATCTATGGGAATTAGGAGTTGAAGGAGACTGGATTTTGTTGGCCCAGGACAGGGTCCGGTGGAGGGCTTTGGTTAATTCGGTGATGAACCTTTGTGTTCGCTAAGCCATCTGGTTGGTTTGGTCCACTGTTTGGGAAGCCTGAGGGGAAGAGGCCTCTGGGGAGACCTAGACGTAGATGGGGGGATAATGTCAGGCGGGATCTATGGGAGATAGGAGTTGGAGGAGACTGGATTTTGTTGGCCCAGGACAGGGTCCGGTGGAGGGCTTTGGTTAATTCGGTGATGAACCTTCGGGTTCGGTAAGCCATCTAGTTAGTTAGTGAACCAGAACCCAAGAGCGATCGGTATCCTAGCAACTGTTGACAGACCTGATTTGCAAAAACGGTCCGTCAAGCTCTGTACAGAATAATGTGACTGAGTATAATTAAAGTAGGCCAAGGCGTTATTGTCGAATGGTCGCCTCGCCTTTGTGAACTTTTGTGTACAATACGGCCCTTACCTCACGTTTGTTGGTTAGGTTAGCATTAGCAGCGCGGCTTACAGAACTCCAGAAAAAGGCGTAGTGTTCAAACAGCACTCCTACTGTAACGTGAACACCTGTTAACAACCCAGACGCAAACCATGCATGAAGGACTGCAAGAGATCTTGCTTGTCTTCTCCTACTTCCTGTTACCTTTCGTTCACTTTTATTCCTTCCCTCTCCTTTATTTACTGATATCTTTTAAATTTCGCGTTTGAAAAATATCAAAATAAAATCTCACAAATTTACCACGTCTTAGACTTATCGGTATATTAATATTCCCATGTGTGATCTCCCTAAAGATTTGTGAACTTCAGGTTGGTAAGTGAAAATTTGGTAAAAATAACTGCTGTATAAATTGAACTGTTCAGAGGCGTTTAACGGGTGGCATACCGCCAAGGGTCGTGTTTCTTTCTGGCCATCAGCTGATTGGAAGACGCTGTCAGATCTCAAAGTAAAGCTCCGAGTGGACATTAAAGTAGAAGGATTTTAACTGGAAGATTATACGTACATAGTATGCGTTATATCAAACAGAGGAATGAAACGTTGTCTGGATTTGCAAAGAGAAGTTATATAACACTAATCAAACCGACTGAATGTAAAGTGAGAAATTAATATTTCTTAGATCAAAAACCATCAAATGTGTTGATCGACATAATTATGGGTTTAATTAGTCGTTGCTTGTAGACAGAAACCAACGATTAAATTGCACACGTCCGTCTAGAGAGAAATACGCAAATATGAACACCTAGTAATAATGTACCATAATACCATCGCTACTAAACCTGGGAACGGGTTTCAAAGAATCCCAGAAGTTGTTGGAGGACGAAGGTAAACACCATGAAAGAATGAGTCTGTTCAGTTACATAACAAAACGTCCACCCACAGATTAAAACGCCTCCAAGTGTTCCCACAAGGGCGCTGGGCTGGTCGCTTTGCTTATCCAGCTGTAAAATGCAGTCAAAGCTTCGAGGGTCTCTTATCACGTGTAGACACGTGTCCGTTTGTCCCCCTGCCTGTCTGAGCGCTGAGGCGACCGTCTCTAAGATATCTGAGGAGCTGGACTTAAAAAAATACTCGTATAAAGCAATGGATCAGTAACAGATGCAAATTCCCACGTCATATGTGTTGAAGTTTCAGTAACAGAGCTGTAAGTACACGCATTGTGTGTCCAAGGTTGCACCTAAGTACATTTCTTCGCTGTCGGAACGAGTTGTTGCATCGTTAGCGTAACTTTTACGTAAGAAACTTCATAATTTTTTATCATCTCCAGACGTTAATAGCGCAGAGACCGTAAAATGGTTGCGAAACAGGCGGTAAATTATTTTTATTCTTATGATTATAATTATTTCAATGAAATTTCTTCTGTTGGTAATTTTGCGGTGGAATAATCTAAACTTTTTTTTTTAAATTAACTTTTGAGAGATAGCGGGTCACAGATTCTTTGACGAATCGCATCATCTCGAGTACCAAACAAATGCTAACCAGAAAATCCACTGCTTCAAATGGGATATTACATGTGTAGCATGTCAAGGGTTAGAGAGACCGGAGGAGCTGTTTCTGTAGTCGTAAGAGTGACCCTGTCATGATCACATGGACGCAGGATTTTTTCAGAATCGTAAGTAATGTAGTGTTTTGCCGGTCACGTGACTGGTGGCTTGGGGAGGATAAAGTAGACCGAGTCTGAAGGAAGGCTGGTCGCATTGTCCTGTAGCTGTGATACATTCTTACCACGCAGTGTAACGCGGTCTTGAATGTTGGACTCGACAGTGACGGACAAAACGTGGGTGAGAAACGTGTCACCGCGCACTTGCTTGTATCTGTGGAGAGAGATCATATGTTCGCTCACGACACTAGGAGTTTGTTTCCTAATTTTATTTCATTCTTCAGGTACTGGACCACAGAGAGACCCCGCGGTTTGCAGTCACAGTATCATGCTGTACGACGAATCTGTCGTGAGCGTGGTCTACTCTTCGAGGACCCCGAATTCCCACCGGGACCGCGTGTCCTCTTCCATCACAAGAAGCCCCCAGTACACCCTATCGTGTGGATGAGGCCAGGAGTGAGTACCTATCAGAGGGCGTTTTAGGACACGCTCAAGTTACGTTGTAATTTAAGTTCGGATGAATTCCAGAAAATGCGTTAGGAATTTTTTTTCACCGCGTTGTCACGAGGTAACTTGCGTGGTGTTAATCGTCAAAATTGACGGCAATGAAAATTATTTGTGTTAAGGGTAATGAAATTTATTGAAAATCGCACTGAAATTGTCAATACATCTTCACGGCGGCTGAAGCCGGGTACCTGCCAAACGCATTGACTCCAGACTCCGCCAGACCCCACCTCAGGCGCCGCCATAACCTTGCTACCACAGTAGCCACCGTCCGAACTCACTTTCAATGTTTTTCCGCTCTCGCGTAGTGAGGCGTGGCGGACAATAATTCACCCAGTCTGTGTTCATCCCTTAGGGCAAGGGACTACATTCCTCAGCCATGTGGAGCGACTAGACAAGGTGGTGATCGTGTGGTTTTGCTCCAGGAAATATGTCAGAGGCCGCGGTTCGTAGCTTCAGACAGCGGTGGGAGTGGAGGAGCGGCTGACTGCGGGCGTCTGGACGTCGAGGCGGGCGAATTGGGCGATCCGTGGTTGCTGGCCGCCATCTCTTCGCTCACACTCACCCCTCGATTTTTGGACCGAGTTGTACCACCAGATCAGACTTTCGATCCCGCTACGTATTGCGGACTTTTCAGGTATGGTGGATGAAGTGCGTTTTCTGTCCGGATGAGAATTTTTTCTCGATGTAAGGCAAGGATGAGAAGTTTAGTGTAAAATTAACTTTTATCAAATTTTTCTCAAAAAAACAGTCAATAGTAAAAAATGACAAAAGTCATAAAATTTATAAGTTGAATATTTAACAGTGATGCCAACTTTCTGGTCAATAAATATGGCCGTCATGATACGATATCGATATTTGAGACCCCTTCCCCCCCCCCTTACGAGTTAATTTTGTGACGAAAATTGTTGCAAATAACGAATAACTCGTCGTGGGAAAGCAAATCAGACGGAACCCTGGTCAGTGTGACGTCAGCAGACGACAACGGCTGGCCGGAAGTCTCAGGAACGTGCGGTAAATGTCGATGGGTTATTGGCAGCGCAACCGGTTACAGAGGAAACCCAGTTTGCAGTGAAACCAAGCGACATGACTCACTGGCCGAGAAACTTGACGATTTAAATCCGAAGTCAAGGAGAATAGACGCAAAGAGAACATTAAGCGGAGAAAAAAGTGGAAGACGCTTTATTTATCGGGAGCATAAACCAGTTGATCTTTGTAATGGTGAAGTGTGGAGTTTTCTTCGCGGTACGGACCGAATTCTTAAATGTAATTTAGACGAACTATGATTCTCACTGTAAACAGCGATCATTTCCTTAAACAGCGTAAACCAGTTGATCTTTGTAATGGTGAAGTGTGGAGTTTTCTTCGCGGTACGGACCGCATTCTTAAATATCGCTCAGAAGACCTCGCCATCCCAATGTCTTCACTCTCATTTTATCCTTATAAGAAGGACGAGCGAGCAAAGCCTGGGGACCCAGTTAGTTTCTTTTTTCCTCTGGAGTGAGGCTTTCTTATTTTAAGTGTTGGTTTTCCTACGACGTCGAGCACATTTTTTTATTTGGGGTTATGTGCCTTGAACTTACTTCCGACTGCCGTAATGTTGTTTCCGGCGGCCCAGTCGGTGGAGCAGACTGTTGTTATAGCTCAACATCGACCTGACGACCGGAACGTACGGATAACGGGGCCGTCGTAAAAGCTTACGGATCAGTCGAGGTGTGACACCGGTCGGTTGCCAGATGATAACACCGTGGGGGCTTGTGGAGCCTTGCGGTGAAGAAGGAGGTGGTAAGACGTAAGAGAGTCTGGCGTAAAGCTAGTTTCCTAATATGAGATAAGCAGTGAGTTAGTTGGCGGCCATGGAATTCCAGTCGCAGCCATTTTGTGACAAGTGAGTTGCTGGATGCGCGGGTCAAGACGCCGTTGTCTGAAATTACAGGTTGATTAGGAAGGAAGAGATTTGGCGCAGATGAGCAGTTGGAGATAGGCGCGATAAAGACGAGTATAAATGAAACAGGATGAAAATTATGAGGATGGGTGAAAAAGGGTGGTAAAGAGCAGTTATAACAACGAGAAGTATGACGAAGGGGGAAAAAGAGATTGAATAATGAAAAGGTTTGTGATCGTGAAGATGTGGAGGACGATTATCACTGTGCAAGAGTGGACTATAAGATGAGAATCATTCGTTTTCTTTAAAAAAAAATTACGTTGTTTAGCGACTCGGCAGGAAAAGTTAAACACAGATTCTGTTACAGGCCAATGTTAAACCACTATCACTTCAAAATATACCCTCACTCCAATGAATTTTGATGTAAACATCATCAGAAGTTACACAACAACAGTAATTAAGTTTTAGTTTATAAGATTATAATTTTTAACTTTTAACTTTACGCCTGAAGATGGTTCAATGTAACCGAAACATGTAGTAAAAAAATTGTACCAAATATGTAAATGATATTTTAATATCTTATGTATAATTTTATTTATATACAATTGTGATTAGACGGGGAAAAAAACACGAATAATTACACAGATTCTCGCCTAAAGAACTTTTCAGAGATGTGTAATGAAAATTAGAATTTTAACTTTTAGTTAAACAAAAAAAGTAAGTTTCCAGTTGCTTCTGTAAGCAGCACGACCTATAAAAAAAACTTCCTTCTTCTTGATAAAAGCGGTCGTAAACTTCGAGCTGCCTTGGTCTTTATAGCCTTACATTTCGTCTATGTTTTATAGACCATTACCCATTTCATTAGTTCTACAGAGAAATGTTACGTTAAATGATGCAGATCGATACAAAATCGATGATCGAAAGCAGAGAGACTTTTCATAGCACGGGTGTTCAGACTCGTTTGGTTTAGCTAAGGAGTGGACGAGTATTTGTATTCATCTCAAACAACCTGCAGGCCGTGTACCCCAGCGAAAAAGCAAAATACGTCAACATTTTACTGTTAAAAGTCTTCATCGGTTATTTGGTTCGACCACGGAGGCATTTTTTTTTTTGGTATTAGTTCTGTCTGATTAATGATCAGGTTTCTGCCTATCCCGACTGAATCTGTCGTGGTTTTATTCAGTCTTTATAGGCAGATATCTTGATAAGATCGTGATTGCACATTTTAAATCCTAATATACTCAGTAATCGTAATTAATTTATCATTTATTTTGATATTCTGTAGTGCCTACATCTGATACAGGTCCGATACGTAAACTAATAATAAATTTTTCATACTTTTGTTTTAAAATTTTGTCACGGTGGTCTAGCGGTTAGAACGCTGGCCTTGTAATCCTGGGGGTCTCGGGTTCGATTCCCGGCGGTGCCCGAATTTATAACTTGTGTTGGGCAAGGCCGTGGTCTAGGCAACACGGAGTTTTCCTCCGTGGCATCCCAACAATTACTCCATTCACACACAGAAGAAGGCAATGGCAAACCACTTCTGGATCATCTGCCAAGAACGTATATGAACAGGTCCCAGTCCGAGAAAAGGATGGAAGGATCCTGTTCATATGGACCTGTCGTCAGACAGAACACTAAATAAATAAAATACGTTGGTATAAATTTGTACAAATTCCCAGTATATGAATAATTACAAACACGACCTCACAGTTTCTCCCTGTGATCGCACTGAAATTTTTGAAAGCAAAAAAATATATAGGGGGTTTGGGGGGTCACTGTTGGGCCCCGATTTAAATTGTAATACTGAAATGGAGGAATCGCGTATATGATACGAATCAGATCGTATTGGTACAAAAATGTGGTTTGTTTTAACAATTTAAATTTTATGAATGATTAATATTGGCAGCGTCTTTCGTTTTAGAATTTTAATTTCTTTAAATCTGTTGATATTTCTTAACTGCGAAAGTAAAGATGTTGTTTATAGCTAATATAGTTTAATTCCTGAGTGTTGAATCCTTATTGGGTGGAATGGTTTGGCGATGTTTTGGGTAACCTGGCTGTTTGCTGTTTTCATCGTAAGCGCAGGGCGTTTCGCGACTGTTACTCCTTTCACAAAGGAAGGTGTTGTCCCTATACAAACGGATTCCTGTAATAACAGACATGAATCAAGCTGACCTTCAGTGAAACAAGACTATCTGCTGGTATAGTGCGTTTAATTTAGTTAACAAACAAAAAATACATACAAAGAAGTCTTACGTGTACCCTCCCTCGTACTAGTAACAAGCAAACAAATATTACAGGTTTAAAAGATGTAGACAAAAGATGCAAGCAAAATGGCCCCTCTGGCCACAACGAAGTCAAAAGTAAATTTACATATTTTATGATAATTACGAAGAAGCGTATTATTTTCTCAATTGTCTTGTTACTGAACGCTGGTCAGTATATTCTTTCCCGACAAAGCCTCCGTAGTTGATAAAAGAATAAAATGACGTGACGTTAAGAGAGCTTAACTTTTCTTTAAACGCAAGTTTTATTTTGTAACAATTTTCCTAAATAGTTTTTCCATCACGTAGTCGTAAATTATTAACATTAATAATTAAACGCTTAGGCCAAGTAGACAAATTATGTGAAGCAAAACATTTTCCAGAATATCTGACAGTCGTGATTTTCGCCAAATAGCTCCTCGTTGATTTGTATAGAATCTCAATGTTCATTGCCGCGTTAATAAGAGCTCATTACTAGACCATGTATAGAGTCACATTAATCAGGTCCACACCTTTGCCTTTAAATTGGCATTAATATTGCCCTGCCATCTATAATTGGGTCTCCCAAGTGGCATTTTCTTTTCAGGTTTTCCGATTTTGTACCCATCTTCAATGTGTGTGTGTGCTAAATGCCCTGCCCGTCTCAGACGCGTTGATTCAAATGATATTAGTAAAAAAAAAAAGTACGCAGTTTTTTAAGCTCGTCATTGTGTGACGTGTTTAATCTTAGTCACTTCCTTCCTCGTGGATTTTCTCAAACGTCCCAGAACGTGATCGCGGCCCTGCTGTTGGAACAAGTGCGTTAAATAACCCGTGAATCCTGGCCATTGCCCGCGCGCATTTCCCCTGGGTTCACATTCTGTACCCGCCTGTAGATAACGGGTATGGTATTGTTCTCTCCGAAGTCCAGCGTCTGCTACTTCGATGCGTTTTTGTCCCCCGCTCCAGTCCGGTCGTCTTCGCCAAGTACGGGCCCAATTAGGGAAAGTTCGCCATATATGAGGAGAGCTCGTCGATGCACTCGGTGAATACTATTCACTTGTTCTCCGACTCTCCCGCATCCCACACGACGCACTGTTCATAACGAGGAAACGTTTTAGAGACTGCTTGGGAGACATGGATGGAAATCGGATGATAATATTAAAATGGATCAGTCGCTTAATTATAACTTGTGTTGGGCAACGCAAGGCCGTGGTCTAGGCAACACGGAGTTTTCCTCCGTGGCATCCCAACAATTACTCCATTCACACACAGAAGAAGGCAATGGCAAACCACTTCTAGATCATCTGCCAAGAACGTATATGAACAGGTCCCAGTCCGAGAAAAGGATGGAAGGATCCTGTTCATATGGACCTGTCGTCAGACAGAACACTAAATAATAAAAAAATAAACCAGCTACGCTGTCACAGAACCGTCAAAATTTTGATGTGATTAGACACTGTAACTTGTTGTGGTGTATATTAATAGAACATAGAATGAATTCTGGTGTGGCTTTCAGTGGAAAAGAATGCGTACGATGATATGACATCATCAAAAAACTATCTTCCCCTAACCCTTTAATTTTAATTAATCTAACTCGATTCCTGGCGGTGCCCGAATTTATAACTTGTGGTGGGCAAGGCCGTGGTCTAGGCAGCCCGGAGTTTTCCTCCGTGGCATCCCAACACTTACTCCATTCACACACAGAAGAAGGCTATGGCAAACCACTTTTGGATCATCTGCCAAGAACGTATATGAACAGGTCCCAGTCCGAGAAAAGGATGGAAGGATCCTGTTCATATGGACCTGTCGTCAGACAGAACACTAAATAAATAAATAAAAAAATAACCTAATTTCATGAATGAAAGAATTACGCCGTGGTCCGTCCGAGAGGCAAAGTTGACGTCAACTACCGACGTTGTGCTTCTTGTAGGTTCCGGTTCTGGCACTTTGGGGAGTGGAAGGATGTCCTGGTTGACGACAGGCTGCCTACATACAGGGGCAGACTGGTCTACACTCATTGCACAAACCCCACAGAATTCTGGGTCGCTCTGCTAGAGAAGGCGTACGCCAAGTAAGTGCTGAAACGTGTGGAAAAAAGTATATTGATAGTTCGTGAATGATTTCTCTTCATTCGTAAATACGTTTATTTATTGCACATGTAAATCTGTTGTTACACGAAGCTGAAACGATTACATAGAATCGTGTTCAAAGTGAAGGGTTTTAGGTATTTTTATTTTGATAACCTTGACTGTGAAGTCTGTGTTACTTAATTTTAGAGGATTCCCAGGACGTTGAATTGTTTAACGTCGGGTTTTCCCTTGACGTCTTTCCATGATCTGTGAGGTTTATTCGCCGTCGAGTTTTCCCAGTGATTCGTGCAGTTTATATATCTTGACGGTGCTGTACTTTTACAGAGGACAATTTACAGATGGATCTCTTGCTTTGTTCGATGTAGCTGGCATTAAAGCGTCCATTGTACAGGGTGATGCCGGTTGCAGGCTGTATGGCTGCTACGAGAGCCTGCAGGCGGGCTTTACCACACGGGCGCTGCAGGACCTCACGGGTGGCATCGTGCAGAGCTTCGGACTCAGTAATCAGGACCGGTACCTCACGTTTCAGGTGCTGAATAGCGCTGTGCCCCGTTCCAGTCTTCTTATCGCGAGCATCAACCTCGTAAGTTCCGAGTTCCGCTCTCCTAAGAGCAATTGTCCGCCTGTATTGCCGTTAGTACGAGGCGCGTCCCAAAAGTAATCTTATTCCAGCTCCCGCCGCCTGTGAAGTGCGGTCAGTGATAACGCTAGGCCGCACACGGTTCGACGGACAGCAAGTCTCCTGCAGGAGTTTAGCTGGGAGGTGTTTAATCATTCACCCTACAGCCCGGATCTCGCTCCCAGTGATTTCCATCTTTTCCTACACCTCAAGAAATTCCTGTCCGGTCAGCGTCAGCGTTTTGAGAATGACAGAGAGGCGGAGATGGTTGTCACACAGTGGTTCCAATCCCAGGCGGGCGACTTCTACGACACAGGTATTCAAAAGTTGGTCCCACGGTATGACCAATGTCTCAATTCCGGTGGCGAATATGTTGAAAAATAGCTGGACACTTGCTGTATCTGTTGCAATAAATATTTCCATGAAATTGTGTTTTGTTTCTGTAAACGGCCCCAGGGAAACTTACTTTGTAGACCAGCCTCGTATAAAATCCAGGGTTTATGAGACGAAGTGCCACGTCATAACTTAGTTCAGATGTCGTGCGGTTTCATGTTTGAGGAAAACTACGTCAGACGCGCATGTCTCGTGTTTTAGGAGAAAGACAACAAGCGACAACTTCGACTACGTAACGGACTAATAACTCAGCACGCGTACAGTGTGACGGGTCTCGCCAGGGTTCGCGGCCCCCTGGGAGAGACGCCCCTCGTGAGGTTACGTAACCCGTGGGGTCGAGGCGAATGGACTGGTCCCTGGAGTGAGCGGTCTTGGGAGTGGGACGGACTCTCCGACAGGGACAAGGAACTTCTCAGCGTTAGGGTCAGGAATGATGGGGAGTTCTGGTGAGTGCAATAAAGTTAGTTTTATTTAGAATACGAACCAGGAAAGGGAAGTGTTAACCTGATAGCGAAGGGTCTACCTGTGACCTTCGTGAACGTGAAGGGTCTTCCTGCCAGTTGCAGCGGAAGTTGTGTTTTGTTGCAGGATGTCGTTTGAGGATTTCGCCCGTCACTTCACTCACCTGGACCTGGTTCATATTGGTCCAGACGATTGGATGAGCGAGCCTGCCCTCCATTCGAAGCAACCCTGGCGCGCGGTTCTGGCGAGACGTCGCTGGCGTTCAGGGTACAACGCGGGTGGTGGCCCGAGCTATACGGGTAAGAAGGCTCTCGCAGGTGTATCGACCACTCTTTGAGTTAAACACCCATTTCGCGTTAAAAAAAACATCTCGGCTTTCAGTATCTCATTTTCGGTTCGGTCAGTCCAAGGACAAACCTAACCTCAGTCATCAGCTTCTGCAGGTGATTGAATCACCGTCGGTTGTCCGTGTCGAATGGCGGCATCGCTTGGTTGCCTTTGTTTGTTTTGTTTCATCTTCTTCTTTTGTAATGATCTTTTTTTATTTTGCTTTCCTGATCAAACTTTTAACATCCACGACTTTATAGAAGTATATACGAATTTGTATATGCAAATAACATGCTTTTAATTCCTTTCAAAAATTCTCATGGCATAAAGGCTATTCCTGGACAATTAGTTTTCAAATTATGAATTTATTAGATAATTAAATTTTGAATGATATGTTTTCTTAGCCGAGCCCGGTTTTCAGAGAACGTCATATCGAGATAAATCTCACATTAAAGGACGGAATGGAGGGTGAACTTCGTTTCCGTCACTTTGCAGTATCAAAATGTCTAAGAACTGCAAATAAAATCCCAGAAATACGTAATACGACATACGGTGTTAAGGTTAGGTTTAATGAATTGTACACTAACCAAACAATTAGATATATAGTTATCACATGTTTAACTTCTGTTATTATTTTATATGTATCCATATTATATTTATTTATTGCCTTTTAATTAATGGTAGTTAGTTTCCGGATAGGCCTAAAGAATTTTCGCTTCGAGAATCGAATTTCGAAACACGCGAAACTTTTGCAAGACCGGAAATTGGTGTAATTTAACTTCTCTTGCAACATCACAATTACGCTGGATATCTTGGTCCGTTGCCTGAGGTGTATGTTGCTTGCACGCGGCGTCTCGCAGACTGGTTTAACTTCCGACTTCAAGGCTTCCATAAGACAAGTATATAAAAGGTTTAGTGTTCGATTCCTCTCGTTTCTACGTATTAAAAAAAAAACATTTCCATTTCTGAGTTTAATACCAGTTAAACACGTGAAGGTAATAAAGATTTATTTTTTGAAATTGTACGTACCTTAGGACTGACCCATGTGTAACTTAATTATTTATTAAAATTCGTGTAATTTACTTCGAATTATTCTTTGGCGTTACATTAATTTATATGCGAAAAAAACTATAATTTTATCATAAATTTTAAATGAAATGTTTATCATATATTTTTCTTTCTCGTATTATATTTTTTCTCACATCTCCTTTTTCCTCTGCTCATTCTTCGAGTTCTTTTTCTCGTCCTCAAGACGTGACGTAGTATTACCCATCATTTTATTAAAATCATAGAAGTTTTGTATTTAGACTATAACTTCAAGATTTCTTTGAAGGAAATGCTCATTTATTTTATAGGAATATTAACACGTCCTTTAAAACTGTTCGTCTGTTGCACAGCATTTAAACCTAAAAAGAGAAACGATTATAGAACTATTTTTCGCGCAGGTGGAAAAGGTTCGTGTTCTCTACCATAATTGAAATCTCCAAATGCTACTACTGTGGCTGTCGATGTTTTTGCCACAGAGACGACGGCGATGAATCCGCAGTTTCACATCCAGATCCCTCGTACAAGTACCAACAAATGCCACGTGGTCGTGTCCGTCACCCAGTTTTACGAGACCCTGTCCGACACCCGGAAGAAGAAACCGTTGTTCGCCATCGGCTTCGCGGTCTATGAGGTTCCTCACGCCACGGCACGACTCACGCCCCACTTCGTGGCAGAGCAGGTACTTACATCCAGCACTAACCAACTCCCTGGTAGAGGAACCCGCAGGTCCAACATCGACAACACCAAAGCCCGCCACCCATTTACCATCCTGGCAGCCCACGTCCCTAATATCCATCTTGGTGTTATCATCCCGTCTCCTTCTTGTTCTACCCAGTGGTCGTTTTCCAGAAGGATTCCCTATCAAAATTCTGTGTGCACCCCTTGCCTCTCTCCACAATTCGTGCTATACGTTCAGCCAATCGGAGCCTCCTATGTTTCATTATCCAAGCTATGCTAGGTGATCCGTAAAATTCAAGCAGCTCTTCGATATTAAATATTCTAAATTCTTCACTTATTTCATCCTTCCTAGGTCCAAATATCTTTCTGAGTACCTAGTTTTAAAATATTTGTAATTAACGCTCTCCCATCAAGGTAGGAGACCATGTTTCACAACCATACAAGACAACAGGCAAAATTTTTGGTTTAGTGTTTTGGACACCAAACGCCTCATAGTACAAGAAATTTGTAGATCATATAACATATATTTGTAATTAAGATGCACAACTTATATTCTATTCCAGTCTTTCTTAAACCAGGTGCAAAATAACGACGAACGCATTTGGGAAATGTGTGGTCCAGCAGTGTCGTGTACATTTCCGCTTTATTTATTTATTTTAATAACCGCGATTCAGTTACGCAGGTGACAAGGACATTGAATTGTATGTAAACAAAAGGAAAAGATCACTTCATATCTATTTCTTAATTCTTGGTGATATTTGCCGTTCGTGTATTATAGCATTGTGGATGATTGAAGAATGCAGCGACATTGCGTGATCTAGCGGATGGGAATGAAATCATAATCGATTATGTGTGTTTAGCCAGTTCGACGCGAGAGAGCAGCATATCGAGCTCTGCGGTAATCAAGACAATATGTAGCACGAGGAGGTAGTGTGTGAAAGAGACGGAAGTTGCAGAAGAGGACGACGATGTTTTATTAAAAGGAGGTTACTCACATTGCGTGATTCTTGGTGAATTTCGTAATTGGTTCAGATTTCAACAGGACATAACTCATAATTTATTGGATTTACTTCAGTTCGTTTCGACAAATATCGACATAACCTAAAATTTGTAAAAGCTTCCCCTTTCCCATCCATTCCTGTTTAGTGTTCATCCTCTAATTTCCCTCGTCTCAACACAGTTTTTCAACATGGATGATGGTTGTAATGATGATGGTGGTGGTGGTGATAATAATTATAATTAAATTTTGTATTAATAATAATAAAATATATGGAGGAGGAGTCAGTGATGCTGCAAAGACTGGGATGACTCACCAAATTTTTATGAGCCTGGAAGCAGAAAGGTGTCTGTGAGTATTTTGCTCAGTTACGTATCTCATTCGCTGACTTGAGTCACTGACAACTAAATGAATGGCCGGAGTCATCATGTCACTCACTCATTCGCCTACCTTTATCCGTTGCAGAAACCGCTGGACGTGACGAACCACTCTGTAGCCCGTGAGGTGGTGACCTTCTTCACTCTGCCACCAGGTGACTACATTGTGGTGCCGCAAACAAACATCCCCAACTGTGACGGAAAGTTTCTACTCAGAATTCTCACTGACGAACAGAGCAATATATGGTGAGGATGAGAGTGTCATGATTTTTCTATGATTACTAAATTAAGATGGGTGTGGTTGGTGGATCACGTAGCATCCGTAAGGAAAATGAAAAATTCACGTATAAGATGATATCAAAATTGAATAATTTATTTTTGAATTTTATTACAATCTACCAAGGGCATTCACTTGTATAAAATTATCTAATTTGAGCCTGTAGAGGGTTAATACCCCCCCCAAAAGTGTTGTGTGTTGACTGCAGCTTGCAGAAGTATTGAAAAATTATAATGATGTTGTGAATCGGGGCTAATTTTACTGAAAATCTGGATGTCATCTTGAGTGCCTGTCTGTGTGGGTTTGCAGGGAAGTGAACGAGGACAACATGCTGTTCAGAAACATCTCCACAGAGTTCATGGACGACTCGGCTGCACCGACGATAATTCTGGTGAGTTTCTGGACCAGGGCCCGTCAGAACTCATTTTTTTTGGACCAGTTTTTTAGAATTTAATTTTGTGGTCCAAGAAAAAAGTTATCGAGTACTTAATTTGCGTATTGTGGAATTAGACATGACTTACGACGACTTTAAAAGTTTATGTTCAGTGTCTACATTATGTCTTATAAATATAATCTGACATTTTTGGTTATTATACACAACATTTAAGTTGGTGCCTCTTCTAAGGTTATATTCAAATTTCTCTTTCTGTCTGTAATGTTTCAGCCTGATGGGAAATCCATAGTTGCCAAGCTGCTTCTGAAATATCCGCCAGAAGTAGACGCATTACAGTTGCAGAAAATATTGAAAGCTCACTGGAAAGGTAAACCTTTCTAAATGTTATAATGGCTCGTCAGTCACGAGGTTATATGACGCGGAAGAGAAGAGAAAAACTGATACAATTTTTGGCTTTCTGGTAACGCTGTTTAAAAAAGCACAATTTTTGAACAAAACTTTCTAGCAAATTCCCAAATGCATGTCTCGTATGTTGACTCGGTGACACCAAAAGAAAAATTGCAAGAGGAGGCTCCGAACAAATGAAATTAAATTTTTTTTTAGAAATTTGTCTGGACACGTCCACAGCTCGGGAGGTTATATGCTGGATTCTAAATACAGAGACTTTGATTCATCCCGTGTGGGATTTCATAATTTACAAAGTAGTACCTACATACGGCGTGTCTCACTCTCTCTGCTTCAGTGTACCTGTCGGAGAAGCCGAGTCTTGAGCTGTGCAAAAGCCTTATAATGTTGAGGGACTACAACATCAGCGGCCGCATCAGCGTCGTGGACATCCCTGTTCTCATGCACATGCTGCAGTTCTGGCGGGTGAGGTTACGTCTGATGACCGTTCGGTAGCGGGACACGGAGGAGGAGGAGTACTCGTGTTTGCCCTGCTAACACTTTTGATAAATGAAAAAAAACAATAATTTTCATATCTCTCTTTTTTTTTTTGTTCAGCGGAAATGATCAAATAAATTGTATTGTTAGCCAGATAGTTGAGGCTTACACTTGCCGTGAGAGGGAGATGACTGCTGGAAGTCGTGGGCGGAAGAATTGCTTAATTAGCCTACAGCTGCAGCTGTATAATAGCACTTTAGATCGAAGAATGTGACGTGAATGAGGCGTTGATTCTGCTCGGGGCTAGAAACTTCCTGTATGCCTTCCTCAGGTCGCGTTCCACAAGTTTGACCGAGGACATGGTTGCAAGACGAGCAGCTACAACCTGCGGCCTCTACTGTGGGAAGCCGGTGGAACGGCCAGCAATAAGGTCCTGGAATGTCTGGTGTTCAGGTTCGCGAAGAACAAGGTGCTTACGTCCGAGTGCTTCGTGATGGCCATGGTGCGCCTGCACCTCGCTCACGGTATGAAAAAATCAACGCGGAAGTCAGCGAGAGATTTACTAGAATATAAAATTGTTGAGTTAGTCTTTTCATGGTAATTTGACAATGCTTTTTCAGCTGCGTAAGTTATATGCATGTTCTGAATACACGACCTTGAAACATTACCGTTACGTGGTCCTGTTTGGGTCAGTTCTGATAACCGCGTTTTTTGTTCGCAGAACGATACCACAGCCTGGACACAAAAATGAAGGGAAATCCCCTGTCATTGGAAGAGGTAAATAGTCTATCAAATCTAAAAGTTCTTGACGATGGTGATGAGTCATTTGAATAAAAATCTTCTTGGATATTATCTATCGTTTAGTAAATAAAATATATTTTCTTGGATATTATCCATCGTCTAGTAAATAAAATATATTTTCTTGGATATTATCCATCGTTTAGTAAATAAAATATATTTTCTTGGATATTATCCATCGTTTAGTAAATAAAATATATTTTCTTGGATATTATCCATCGTCTAGTAAATAAAATATATTTTCTTGGATATTATCCATCGTCTAGTAAATAAAATATATTTTCTTGGATATTATCCATCGTCTAGTAAATAAAATATATTTTCTTGGATATTATCCATCGTCTAGTAAATAAAATATATTTTCTTGGATATTATCCATCGTCTAGTAAATAAAATATATTTTCTTGGATATTATCCATCGTCTAGTAAATAAAATATATTTTCTTGGATATTATCCATCGTCTAGTAAATAAAATATATTTTCTTGGATATTATCCATCGTCTAGTAAATAAAATATATTTTCTTGGATATTATCCATCGTCTAGTAAATAAAATATATTTTCTTGGATATTATCCATCGTCTAGTAAATAAAATATATTTTATTCAAAAGGTAAATAGTCGCTTTATCTAATTTAGATTTTAATTCATTTCTCTTGAAGATCTCATTGTTTCCATCAGTCATTTGAGTGTCGGTACAAAATCCAAGATGATGTCGATTCATTTTAAATTTGTCCTCGGAAGAATGTAATAATTCGGACTCAAAGTCTTTGTTTCATTAATATTTAGAATTTATTAGTCCTTACAGATATTTTATGTGGAGCTGTAATTTTACTTTATAATTCGTCGTGGCGTAGTGCAAAGAGATAACACGATATTCGCCCATACGTCAAAATCTATTTCTCATCTGCATGATCTTGATGCTTGTTACAGATGATTCTGATGACCATCTACTCCTGACATGTACCGATCACGTAATTCAGAAACCAAAGAAGACCTACACAGAAGCTCCGTCTCATCTCGGCACCTCTAATGTACATATATCACAAAAAAGATTAACTTATCAACTATTTAATATAAAGGACAGAATTTCCAAGTTGGCAGACTGGCGGACATATATATATATATTTTACAAGTATTTAAATACGTAATTTTAAAACTATAAACAAAAGTTGTTACAAAAATATTGGACCAGTTATGATATACGTAAAGCCAAAATGAATGCTGGAGAAAGGAGTGGTCAGAGATTAGGAAATATTAGCAAATTATTTTGATTTTGAACTGTTAATTTTGACATCGGTAAAAATTCTTAAACTGGCGTCTTTTCATTGAGACAGGGGCAGCTTACTACGTGTCTTATTTATTATGTTTCTGCTTTAAGTCATGTAGAGAATTTTTCTTCCTCTATGGCTCTCCGGTCCACGGCCTCCTCAATCCTCCTCTTCCATTCGGTCCTCTGTTAGGTCCGTCTGTCCGAGGCTTTGATCGAGGTTTCGAAACGTCTTCCTGTTTGAAAATTTGATTTGTTTATGTGGGCTGTCTGAGCGTGGATACGTGCAAATCAGCACCCAGTACTAATAAAGATCAGCACAAAAAGGATTTCTGAATAGACGTAATAAGCAACAGAAACAAAACAAAAATTTTAAGTTCTTGCACAGCTGCCTGTTAAAATTCTATATATATATTAGTAAAAATTTCATCAAATTCAGACTTCAAGAAAGAAATTCGCTGAAGTAACTACGTATCTTCCTTATCGTATCACGTTTTTGCAGAGCATTGGGCCTGCTTTTAGAGGCTTCCTTGGTCTTTTTGATAAATAGATGAAAATACAAATTTCCATTAGACTCTGACCACTCTTGAGTCGGCTGGCACGAACCTGAGTTCCCTTAGAGGACTGACTGAGCGTCATGTACAAACCAGCAACCAAAGGAAATTCCACGCTCAGCGCACTGCGCACCTGCCGCCCTGGCGACATACCGATCCACGTTCAGTTTCGAAGCAATTTTTCAATTTTTTTAGAAAAAAATATTATATTCTTCGTCAGATGTTCGGATTCCTACCAATCAGCGTGCTTTTCGTTAGTCCCGAATTCCCACTGTTAATGAAATTTGATATGATGATTATGCCGTCTGCTTCCGCGTAAGGCGAAGTCGTCCTAAAATCGTCTTGATAATTACCGGGAAACACAAATACTCATATTTGAAGCTCGTTGCTGCACGTCCTTGGTGTGGGGTACGGTCGGCAGCGAGAACCGTGCAGTGCGTTGATGCTGGACCACTAAAGTCGAGTACACTTTTTACTGCCATGGCTGCATACTGCCTTGTGAATAATGTAAATACATAAACTCGTAACTTGTTTCAACATCGTGTGCGTCATTTCAGTGTACCCACTCATCGACTCCCTTTTAAAAAAAATATCTGATTCTTCCCCATAGCTGGAAGTTATTAAACTTGTCCTGAGCATTTAATTTAAAGGTTTCCACAACATCCAGTTTAACATTTATTTTCCTTCTCCGTCACATTTTTCCAAAAACACATTCCTCTCAAAAAAAAAAAAGGCATATTTCTAAATTTCTATATCATTCAGTTTTTGATACCTAACCTCTTATGTCTCAGTCTCTCTCAAGTCACCGTCAGAAAATCCATAGAGCTACATTCCCAGCCCATCAAAACTTCCATGATGATTGCCTCTAATAGACCCCGAGTAGGGCAGTTCTGGGGCCCCCCACAGGTTCTTTCCCCAGGAGTAAAGCGGCCATGAAATCGACCTCTGACCTCCGTTCCCTCATACGTCTTCATTACACGGTGCTCAATACCTTTCACCTTTGCACGTGGGCCACAGACCGTCCTCTGGGATCCTGTCACGTGTCTCCGTTGTCATATAGAAATACTTGTGTGTCCTTTCTTGAACTGGTTAAACTGAAGAAGGTAATGAAATGCCGTCTGCATTATTTTCCCAGGACCTAGGTGCGTGATAGCTCGGACAGTAAGGAGACCGCCTTCAAATATGAACAATTAGGATTCGGTCCTAGGCAGGATCTTGTCGGTACATCCAGAATGGTTCTGTGTCGCATCCTGCGGTTAACGGTAGAAGGGACGTCTCCCGAACGCAGCGATGCCCTCGTGCTTAGAATGGTAACTTCTTTTTCTCTTTTAAGTAAATGTGAGTAGTTTGTCTAGAAGTAGTTTTGGGATTGTCCGCGAATATAAGAAGGTAACGACACAAAATTTTCATTTATTTACTGAAGGAAATAATTTCTCTTCTCAAATTCTAGTACGCAGGACGTCCGGACGGAGATCGTTATGAATTTAAAAAATCCCCGCAGTCGTACTGAGGCCGCGTTTTATTTCAAGTTGGATGCCATTGCCCTTCAAATTTTTTAATTCGCAATTTTCGGCTCATAAAATCTGAATATAAATTAGCTCCATGGACCAGAGTCCATCTTGAAAAGATGTCACTCAGCAGACCAAGAAATTCCACAAAATTTATTGAAATTGAATGTTCATTACAGTGTTCACAAAAATGATTTTAATTGTCGACTAAAGTCTGAAGAGGACGTTAATCATTTCTTTAACGTGTATGGTCCTACTTAATCCAACTTCTCATTTGCGTCATTGTCTCGGTTAGATAAGTAACGAGTTCGTTTCTGTAGTTAAGTTTTGTTTCTTAGTTTGTTAATTAGTGTAGTTAAACGCTTGCATGAACAAACGAGTAGTCAGTGGATGTTTCTCAGTAAGTTACATCGTTGATTTTTGTTTTTATTAAAATTCACCGAGGCCTGCTTATTACATCGAACCCTGAAGTGTTCGACTAGTATCGGGATACGGATGGCACCGAAGGTCACGGTTTTGGTCCCGGCCGCCTGACGAACTTAACTAGAACAAGTTGTGCTTCGCGCAACATTCCTTGTCTGTCACCAGAATTTGCAAGCGGTGTCGGTAATATCAGATATGTCTGGAGACAGACGTAGACTCGCTCATTTGAAATCGTACCCTATATCAGAAGTGAGTTAACATTTTTGCTTGAGTGTCAGTGAACAATTTTCAAAATCCAGTCCATGCGGTGGAAATAATAAAGATAATAATATATATTTTATTGAATACATTTTAGCATTTTTTTCGTATTTAACAATACGTAGTATCGTAAAATTTGAGGTTTTCATTCATCGTCCTGATGATGGAGGCAGTATGACCTCTGAAACGTTGGTTAACATCGACCAGACTACACGGCGCAACAACCCAGAAGACGGAAATCTTC